CCTATTGAAACTCACCCTCTTGTTTCAGTATCAACCATTGTGATTGTCAGGCCACAATAGTGAGGCAAAGAGCAAAATTTATAATGGGAAAAGCAGATATATCCGGATAAGACATACCATTATAAAGCAGCTGCTAGGAATCTGGGGTAGTGAGCCTAGATTTTGTGAAGTCAGAGTTAAATTTGGCCGATCCTGACTAAACCACTAAGTAGGAGGTTAGTGGAATACACTTCGAGGGGGATGGGTTATGCCTAAAGAATAAGGCAAGAGTGATGGTAACCCTAAACCTATGTGATTGGAAATCCTAAGAAGTAGGTTCATAAGGGTAATAACAAGTCACTTGTTGTCTTGATAAGTATTATCGAATTTTATCTATAGAAAGTCCTCCCTATGGCGAGATAATATTGATTGTAGTGAATAAGGTTGAGTAAAATTACTCTTAATGAAATCCATAGCCAACTTAAATAGTGTTGTGAAAAACTGCAATTCACACCTTATGGAGGTTCACCTATGTGAGTGTGGAATTAGGTCGATCCCTATGAAAGCTTAGGCAGGCATCTCTAGAGCACTCTTGAAATCCAGGCTAGCACAGGGTCATAAAGTGCTAAACCGTAGAACAGTATACAATGTAGAGAATTTGGTGTGAGGAACTAATCCTCTGAATTACATAAAGAAATTTTTGGTTCATAGAAACTTTGTTTCACCAAATTTTTGTAACTCACGTTTAGTTACTCAATGATTGGTTCATAGTCCGAAAGACACCAACTCATAAACATTAAATTCTATAATCAGTGGTGATTGGTTATTTTGAAATATGTGGGAGATTGTTATAAAAGCTGGGTTGTTATGATATTTCAAAATAACAATTTTTTAATTAAATTTTTGGACTATTATGATTTGAATGTAATTAAAATTTTGGACTGCTATGACTTGAATGCAATTACAATTTTTTTGATTACTTTACAATTCAAATCATGGTTGGGCAATTTCATTTTTTTTTAAAATTAAAAATGGCTGTTATAAAGGCTGGGCAGTTTCAAGCTTAATAATTAAAAAAATGGATATTACATGTAAGAGACAAGTACAAAAAGGGGTTTTTTATTCTCTTTTATGCAGAGACGATTTTCCTACTTGAGAGAATTCATTTTGCCTCTACATTTTTATAACTTCCAGCTCTCCTTCACCACTTCTATTTTATATTATACTGTTCTAAATCTCTCTTGGAGAGTGCACTCTAAAAAGAGATTCGTCATTATATCCTAGAGATTAGTCTGCTGTTGAGCCTTTTTGCACCACGAAGATTCTTCCAGTAGGGGCGGAATTCTGATCTTAAGGACAGTGCTTTTGCACGCCTTGACACTACTGTATCGTTACTGTTTTGCTGCTGGTTTCCTGCTATTCTCGATGTTGTCTTGCTGCTGTTTTCCTGCTATTCTCACTGCTGCCTTGCTGCTGTTTTTCTTGCTGTTCTCATTGTTGTTTTGCTGCTGTTCTTCTGCTGTTTTGTTGCTATTCTTCCACTGTTTTGCTACTGCTGTTTAGTTTCTTATTATTATTAAAATTTCAACACACACAAACTAGTCCGGATATACCGGTTACCAAAAAAAAAAAGAAAACATTAGGATAAATTATTATTTAAAATATACCTCCAAGAAAAAATTACCATTGACTGTTTATTTTCTAAAAATTAGTAGGTTCATGTAAAAAGGAAGAGGTAAAATGTAGAGTAGTCATTATCAAAGAAAAGGTCAAAAAAGAAATTATTGTAAAAACATTATTATGGGTTTGGCAATTGCTTTGCACGAAAGGGATGGGTCATGGCAGAAAGTAAATGTTAACATTTTCCTCTAGATTGTTCTTGAATAATTGGTTAAAAGGAAGGCTTGTTTATTATTTTGAAAGGAATGAAAATGGTGAATTGTACCATTGGGATTGGTGATGTCTTGGGTTGTCGGTGTTGAGAAAAATAAAAGTTTTAAGGGATTTTTCTATCAAACCCCACATGTTTGCCAATTCTTTGTCAGCCTAACCCCAATTTTGCCAATTTTTCCAGAGTTAGCTAAAAGATAGGTGAACTTGACATTTTCACTTATAAGGAAAGTTATGTTTGAAACTATCACTGGGTGACCTGATGGTAAAAGAGTAATGGGATCTAACATGGATTTCTGAGTTCGAGTCCCTCCAAGCACTAATAGGGATCATTCAGGGGATTTATCCAGCCGTTAACTTCAGTAAATTAGTTGATGTGCATACAAGCTGACCCAAACACCACTGGTCAACAAATAAAAAAAAAAATTATGTTTGACATTTCTTGTTTTCTATTATATTCTAGACTATTCAACTCCCCAACAACCCCAACCCCCGAACCCCCCCCCCCCCCCCCCCCCCCCCCCCCCCCCCCCCCCCCTCGCGCGGGGCTTCTTGCTCTCTTTTTTCCCTTTTCCCCCCTCTTTATCCTCCTTTCTCACCTCTGGTGTTGGCCTCAACAACATGCCCCAAAGACAAATAATGTCTCTATCAACTAACTAGAAGTTAGATTTGACCTTTATTAATGCTAATTCAACCTCTACTATTTTTCGAGAGGCCAAATCTAGCTTCGACTGAGCCGTGAGGCTAGATTTTGCCTCTCGATATCGATAGAGACTAGATTCAACCTCTCGACCTTGTAGAGCATTTAGCCTCAGGTGACCGCCAAGAAGCCTTATCTAATCTCAATATTTATTGTTGCAAGGCCTCAATAGCTTTTTGGGCTATCATTGGAAGGCTCCAACAACGCTGAAAAGTTGTTGGAGACGTTGACGATCAACAGTTTTTCCTTGGGGGTGCTCTATTATTAGGCAATGAGGGGTTCTAGAAATTTTATAGTGGGTTGAACAATGAGGGGTTCTTGTAATTTTATAGTAGGTTGAACAAGGCCAAAAAGACACTTTACATATTGAGCAATTTTTCTTAACAGAATTCAACAGAATGGGAGCTAAGGTTGCATTTCTCATATATGCTGAGGCTTACTACTTAATTGACAAACATACAGTTCATAAACCGTAAAATAGAATTTCAATTATATGAAAGGATAGGTGGGTGGGGGCAACCAACTTTCTTTTGTCTTGCTTATGAAATTATAAGCTTTTTGGCCGAACATCATTTGTTCACTCATCTATGTATTTTCTTTGTCTTGTCATTTGATATGAAAATGAAATCATCTTTTCTCTTTCCTTTGTGTTGTGACATCTGTCTTCATGCTTTATATTTGGGTTTCTACTAGTGGAGACATATAAATGCTAATAATGTTAACAAAAAAAAAAAAAAAAAAAGAAAAAAATAGTAAAATTTGAATGGCACACTTATAATGCATATTTTCAATTTATCACATTATACTATTATTAATTATTGATGTTGAATATTATTGATAAGAAATTTTGAAAATCATTATAAACATCCCTTATCATTTAAAAGATGTTAGTTTTATAAAAGGATTTCATTTTCTTTATGAGATTGTTTAGTATGAACTTATCAAATCCGTTCAGAAAGTATTAAATATTCCTATTGGGTTTGTTTGATAATTTTATAAGGGGTTGTTTGATCATTTTAAGGAGAGTTTTGATATTATTTAGAGATGTTTTTGATAATTATAGGGTGGTTTTTATTACTTTCTGAACAAAGTGAATGAGTTAATATTAAATCATCTCATAGGGATGAAAATAAATAAACATATTTTACAAAATTTATTGAAAGCATTTAAAATATAGAAAGTTGTTATCTATCTTTTAAGCTAAATAGGTTCATTTATAATTCAGGCAAATCTCATGAAATAGGTGAATTAAATTTTATAAAGATCTTATGGGATGAAAATTGCATTAGTTCACATTGCTTTATTTATTTATTTTGTGTGTGTGTGTGTGAAGACAATTTTGCTTTGTCTTGAAGACAAATTCATATGTATAACATCTCATCTACTTCATAAGCATTTTGAATTTCTACCATATATTCATATGGATAGCATTAATAGCATATAAATTATGTTGAGAGCATATTATAGGGATAGATATAGAATTTACGCTTCTTATTATCAAAGTTTTTGGAGATGAAAGTTTTTAATTTGAAATTTGTTATTCTGGTATCTAAGCTATGGGAGGAAATTAAATTCCAAAAATACAAAAAGATAAAAGGAGTTTATGGTAAAATATTAATTTATTTCTTTAAAAATCAAATACTTGTACTTAAGATATTTACTTAGATATATCTTATTATCCAAATAGATCTTTTTACTTGTGTTTTGAATGTTGATTGGATAAGAAACTGTTTTTGATACATAAATGGTAACAGATGAAATCAATTATGTTTTGTGGCAAAAATATGATTGAATATAAGAAGATAATTACAATATCATAATCAGGATGACAAAAATTTCATTGTCATTTATCTCAATATTGGTTGATTAAACAAAACCCCACTTAGTACTTACAATAGCTTTCAGAGTTTTGTATTTATTGGAGTAATTGAAGGTAGACTTTCGATGAAGCTAAATGTATTTAATAAATTTTAATTTGTAGAAATATGTAGCCTCATAAAAGCCATATTAAATTCTTCAAACAACAATTTTATAATTTCAAAAACTATTAAATCTTTCCTATAAGAGGATTTTATACTTGTATGGGTGTTTTGACAATCTTAATGGAGTTTTTTTGATGATCGCGAGGTGGTGTTTGATAATTTTCAAAAATCATGAGGACGCTTGAAAAAATATTAATCCTCAAGTTACCCAATTCACCATCAATTGATGAAGAAGCTCAAAGTCAGCAGCATGTAGCTCCTTCTTTGATATTGGTTTCCATCAGTGATTGTATTAATGGACAGATAAATATGGTGGGCATCAAATGGTGTCAAACTCAGCACGAATACGACAACAGCATGTCACGGCCATATCTTTTTCAAAAAAAAAAAAAAAAAAAATATCCCTCCAAAAATGATGGAATTTCCCAACCCCAATTAGGTCAAGAAACTTATCACCCAAAAAAAAGGATAGAATTAGGGAGGGGCTGGCATTGCCTTGTTTATTTTTTAATACAGAAGTTTCTATAGCTATAAAGCCTAAAATTATAAGTTATCAAATGACAAGAGAACCCACAACAAAAAAAGAAAGGAAAAAAAAGATTAGTGACTTCTCAAATGTCTAAGGTTACAGATTCTGGTAACTCACCTTACTTTATGCTTCTCAGGAAGGTAGGAAACCGATGCTCAACGATGCATTATGAGCAATCCAACTTTTATGTATGCAAGTTATGTACCGGACCCTTTTTAATTAGTTTCCAAAGGGCAGCCTTGGCTTCCTCCAATGTTTCAACTCTATGACCTTCTTCGAAAGACAACCTCTGTATATTGAACTGCCGAGATAGTGCAAAGCAAATTAAACCCAGCATGAAGACGTAAACAATGGCAAATTCTTAACAGTTGTCATATGAAATGTGATTATGAATACCTGTGCACCTTGACGGACACGAATATCAGTTCCTTTGCTGTCTATTGATATGAGGGCAGCATCATCTACCTCAGTCTCCATGGATAACAGCTCTCTGAGCGGCTTTGAGAATATTGCGTTGAGTTCCTGCAATAGAAGCAAACTTAAACCAAATCAATCCCAAAGCACAAAGTTTACAGTGTGAAATACTCTACAGCATCATCTCATATGGGCAAAAGGAGAACAAAGGGTAGCAGTATTCTCTAAATGATGCAGGAAGGACGAAATGTCCCTAGTTAGTAATGTTAGTTTTGATATTTGCTCGTCTCCATCAAGATTCCTACCTACTATACTACTGCATATTGATCATACTGAAATAAAACAGAACAGATTCAAGAAATAAGAGAAAGTATCCACCTTCAGATTTTGCTCGCCTCCATCAACAGCAATTTTATCAGGCTTGAGGGCTTCATATTCCTTGACATCGACCCAGGCAACAGTGCCAAAGCCTCCAATGAAGTATATGTCACTGAATTGTAAAACAAAATTATCTTCATCATGATACAAAGATTAACTTATAGCTGAGAACTCTCACAGAATGAACATAAAAAGTATGGACATGCAACCTCAAAAAAAAATAAATAAATAAATAAAAAAACCGAGTCATGAATTGTTCTGTCAAAAATATATCAAACTCAAACTCTCAGTTTAGGTAACATTTAAGCCCATTCCACCAACATCAATCATAGAAATGAGTAGACAGAGAAAATTTAACATCTATACAACTATATTTAAAAAATTAAAAGAGAAAGCACAAAAGTAGGGTTAGATTAGAGGCCAAAGCCAAAATAAATAAGGTAAAACTGTGAAAATATCCTAGTTAGTAAATACGGGTACGGCAAAAAATCGATACGGGAATTTTACGGGTATGATACGGCAAATGGTGAAAAATACGTTTGTAAAATTTCGGCCATAAAGTTCGGATACGAAAAAAATACGATACGAGTATATACAGGTTTAATACGACACATTGTCAATAATACGTTTTGAAAAATACGGCAATATCAATCCTAGTTTTAGCATTTTTCATGGGCCACTTGGTTAAAATCTATATAACATTTCAAATATACAGGTACGACAAAAAAAGGGTACGGGAATTTTACGGGTATGATACGGAAAATGATGAAAAATAAGTTTATAAAAATTCGGCAAAAATTCGGATACGAGAATAATTCGCGAATAGTACGGCTGGGCTTATAAAATACGGTTGTTCGCGAATTATACAGGTGGGCGTATAATTCGCGAACTTACTAACTAGGGAAAATATTCAAATTTAATTCCTATAGACCATAAACAGTTTAGACTTCTGTGTCTAGAATGATACATAACATTTATATGAAATTACAAGATAGTTCTTTGTCACAATAATGTTATTTTTTCCTTTTTTTGGCAAGGAAACAAGAAGAACTGTATTAAGATAGACCAACAATGGACAAGCGAACCAGAAAGGTTTAGCTTTCCTATAGAACTTAGAGAGATCAGCCACTAAACAAAACTACTGTATCAAACTAAGTCCTACAATAGACCCCAATAAACACAACAAAAAACATCTCAGCTATATCATTGAAGCTTCCCAATTATGATGATTAAAGCATAGGACCTAAACTCTGAAGAACCATAAGTACATAAAGACCCCCAAAACTTCACACTTCTAACCTTGATATAGCTACCATGTATGCTTCACAAGCACCAAAACCTTTCTTTAACCCTATAACTAAATTATTAATTTCTATTGGCATCGACAACCAAGCAACTGAAAGTAGCTAGATTCCTAAAGCCATATGAGACCAATTGGCTTGCAAAGTGCACTTTATCCATCTAATTAGTAGATTGCTCTGACTGAACCCCAAGGGGTTGGCCTGACAATCAAGAAGGTTTGCTCCCTTCATTGACTTCCTAGGTTCAAACCACCTCGAAGCCACCTACCACATTTGTGACTTACCTTAGAACATTGGGCTTGTAGGGTGTTTAATTGGCCCCAAAAATTAGTTGAGGTGCGTATAAATCAGTCCGAACACCCCGGTCATTAAAAAAAAAAAAAAAAAAAAGTTCTGACTGTTACTCACAAAAAGAGCTTATAAAGGCTCAGCAAAGTATGATATAAATTTGATAATGAACAAAATACTAGAAATTCCAAGCAAAATTATCCACCCAATTTGATACCTAGAGATGATAAATATATCCACAGCAAAATCTATAAGATGAATCTGAACTCAATAATCCAAGTGAGAAAAGTTCCAAGCAAGAAATATCATATGCAACACGAAGGGGTAAAATTTAGCACAAGAACTAGTCTAAATAGAAAATAGACCTGAATAATCAAAAAACTAAATCATGATAAGAGAGTCCAAAAATAAATAAATGAACAGAAAACAGACCTTATGTTTTGCATCCGAAAGTAGTAGAAATTCCCCCACTGTTGGGAAGGCCCTTGTTGATGTTTTGAGATGTATTGTTTATGGGCCCACTCCTGACAACACAAGAAGACACTAAAATTATAAATTATAAACTATAAATACTAGCACCGATACCAGTCTTGAAGAAAGTTTAGTACATCTGCTGTGTCCAACAGGAATTAGTACTTAAAAGTTTTTCCAAAAGAAATGGAAAGGGGCACAAAGAAGATGATACAAACAACATTAACAACCAAATTAAAGAAACTCTGTGATGATGTGAACAAAAACAATAATGTCAACTAGATCCTATTTACAGAGGAATCCCTTCTAGGCACACTGAAATTTCATTCAATGCTTGTGTTTAAGCATTAAGTCTATACCCCTAGAAAGAAAGAAAGAAAGAATTTCCATCTTCATAAGGCATACCCATACATTCATTTTAAAATAATCAAAGAAATAGGAAAGGGAGAGGCAAAAACCTGTTGATGCTCTGGAAGTGGGAAGACATCTCCAAATATTGTTACTCTGGCATTTGATAAGCCACTCCAACCCGGTATCTATTAAATCTAACAGTCACTAAAATCCATAAATCGAACACTAGAGCAGATATTCCAACCAAGTAGATAGATCAAATAACTAACCTGCACAACAAGTGTGCACCTGGGGTCAGCTAACAAATTCCGTGTATGGATGGCCAGTGGTGAAAATGAAAATATTGGATCTGCAAATAAAAACGTAGTACATATGACAATATATCATATCAGGCATGTAGAAGGACACAGTAAAATCTACGGTCAAATGCTTAAGTAGCAGCACAATATGAAAAGTTAAGGGTTAAAAATCAACCAATATAACAAAATTTCAATAAATATTCTTATAGAAAATCCAATGACTTACGCCCACTAGAATCAGGTGCAAAATCTACAAGGGACCCAAATGGATAACCTTCTCGCCTGTGGTGCATCCGAGACATTACAGTGCAAAGATGAGCAAATCTGGCCTTAAATGAGAAAGCAAGACAGATTTAAAATTTTATTCAATAAATGAAAATACAAAGACAATACACAGAAGTCATTACTCATCAAATACACCAAAGGCAGCTCCTTCAAAAAGTAATACCAAACGCATTCCAGATGTTGACATACCTGCTCCATCAGATTGCGAACTGCTAAGGCTGGTCGAGGTAAACCATGAGCTGAGGTTGCACTCTGCACTCCACCAGATATTGGGGTTCTAAAAAGTCCAGCTCTTGTTCCCCCACCAGTTCCTGTTCCTGTTCCACTTCCACTTCCACTTCCACGAGGTGGAGACAGAAGAGGGGCCTCCAACTTTATTATTTTATCTGCATCCTTTTCATTACTTTGAACATGATCTGAATTACCCTTCAAAAAATGAGAGAGGCCATCACTACTAAGCCAGAGTAGCCATCTGATACAGTAATTAATTGTCTATATCACAGGAAAGAAAATGTCGCAGATATTACATAGCCACACAACAGATCAAGAACCTCACCATGTATGCAACACATACACCCTCCAAAATCTCTTGCATTTTTTGAGAAAAAGAGAAATTTCAGAATGTCAAAAATTGTGCAATCTAAAACTTAAAGTTTCCTCAAATACTCTCCAAGATTCACAAATGATAAAAGCATAGGAGGGATAGATTAAAAAGTTTATGGTAAGACTTTTTCCTCAGTATCTCTAATGGTACCATACAATCTTAAATTCTATGTGGATCTTTATCTACAAAATAAGCTTTTAGATAAGTAGTAAATAACATAATATCATAGCCAGCTGGACCAAGAAGTTTTTCATTTGAATCCCCTTATTGTATAAATTAAATCATAATAAATTATGTTTGTGGTTCTGGTCGTGTTTGGTGCACGTGAGGGAGCATATTGTAGCTTATGTACTATTGTTGGGGCCTTTTCTATCAACTTGAGCTTTTAGGTCAAGTGATAACTACAAATTTATAAGAATATGCAAAAAGAACATCAAGAAGTATAGTGAATGAATTATCCACTGAAATGATTTTCTCACAAAGTTCTAATTCAGGTTTAGAATACTATAAAATTGTGCTAAGTGGTATAAAAAGAACATAGCTATCCACCACCGAAAACATAGACACATGCCCAACAGGCAATAAAAGCGATTAAGTTGCTACATATCACCGATATTTAGAGCATAAAATCAAATAAAAATAAATTATTTGATACAGTGAAGACATTTTCAAACAGAACTTCTTGTCATAGAAATATATCACTTCATGAAAGAAGCAGAAGCAAGAATCTGGAAAAAGAGGACTTGATTGCTAGGTCGAACTAAAAGCAGTCAGGCAGACCAAAGTGGATGGTAATAACAAGGCACCAGATGGAAGTGGGAAACAGCAGCAGCTAAAATTATCAATCAATTCATCATCAATGTAGTAATTTAGATATAATAGAACTGTCTCCCCACTATAGAATAGATGCATGCATTGTCTCACACATAATTCTACATCAGAGGGCATACTTTTAAATCAAGAGGTTCATGTCTAATCTGGAGTGACTGAAGTCAACCAAGTAAATACTATCTTGCAAAAGAACAAGCTTAATAATGTAGTTGCAACCATTAACAATTATCAAAATCTACATCGAAAATGATTAGAAACCAACCGGAAGAAAAATTCAGGCACATTTTAATCAGCATTCTCAACAGGTAATTTGAGAGTAAGTGATTTCAAATAAAAGCATTTTCTGGCAAAAAACCTATTAAGTACTTCTCTTATTGAAAAAAAAAATATGCATTATTAAAAAGCACCATGTAGATTCTGGTTCTTCTTAATAGTTGAAACCATGTTATAGAGCTTGTTCGTTGCAAGATAGGATTGCCTCTTTATGATACCCAACAAATTTCAGGCTATTTAAGTTGCATGCAAGATAGGATTGCCTCTTTATGATACCTATAGAGTACCTTTTCTTATCAAACATATGTATTTTTAAGGAATGCCTAATAAATTGCTTCACAACAAAGCATTTAACTGATTTGTCTACCCAAAAGGACTCCATCCAAAAAGTAAAAAATTAATTCAAAACGCATTTAATAACTATTGGAGCCCTTTTAGTGGTATCAAAAGCACTCCCAATTCCCAAAGACACTCTAACTCCTTTTTCTAGCCATCAAAAAAACAAACTTTAAACTTCTTCAGCTCTAATGTTAAGAATACGACAAACATGCAACTGATCATTAACACAAAACTGAAACATTAATCTATATCTCAGAGTCAAATCAATGAAAAAACAATACTTTGTTTTTTATACTACTCTTATCGAAAATTCACTGATAATTAGAAAAAAAGGAAAAGAAAAAAAAGAATAGTAAAGCACCTGAGGTAAAGAGAGGCTATCGCCAGAAACTAGGCCAAACCCTTTATTCAAAGGTTTCTCATCTTCACTTTCACTGGAAACTTGACGCGCCAAGGCATGAATACGGAGCCCAACACCGCCAAAATTAGAGCTACTGTCAGAGAATTTAAGAGACCCAATTCGCTTATTGGATGTTAAGTTGAAGGAATAAGTGGAAGAAGAAGAAGAAGGTAAAGGAGTGTTGAGGAGTGAAGTGGAAAGCGACTCCATTGAAAGAAGAGGGATTGTTGATTATTGTTTAATGGATTTTATTTATAGGGTTTTTGTTTGTGAGGTTTTGCTTTTGTTTTTTATTTTTTAATTCTGTTCAGGGTTTTTGCCTTTTTGAGGTTTTTATGTTCGAGAAGAAAGAAGAGTTTCTGTTTAATTTGTTATTTCCTTCTTTGTATTTTATTTTAGGGTTAATTTTCTCTGTCTTCAAGGATTTAATAGATTACTCAATACACCTCATTTGGGAGTGACATTTACAAAGGTGCGAGATTCTGCTTAATTTTTGCTTATTCAAGGATTTTAATAAATAACTAAGTACACCTCACCTGGGAGTTTTGCAGAAGTGCTCATTATATCAAGACAGTTCTAACTTGAGATCTACCATATATATATATATATAATTCTCTAATAAGGAATCAATTATGATGCATATATTATAGTTAATTTTTTATTCTTTTAAGGGTGGTTTTATAGTTTTAGAAATTGTTAGTGTACTTGAGTTTAACAATTCTTCAAGGGTGGATGAAATAAACTTTTTAATTTAAGAATAATTCCATCTCCGAGATTAGGTTAAAATAAAGAGACTTTGTTATTTTTATAATTTTGAGATACGAAAATCATCTAAAATTTCTTGTAAAGTATCATATTATTTTACCAACCATGTTTCGAAAATGCTAATTATATATTTTTTTACTATATTATTAAATAAACCATTAATTTGTATTTAAGATATTAACATTAATAATGTTAAAGTTATAGTTGTTAGTTGTTAGTTGTTTTTAATAATTCCTATTGTTTAGGGATTTTGTTTCTTATTTGACTGTTGCTAAAGTGAATCCCATGAGTCTAGAACTGTTAGAGGTGGGATAGCTTTCTCGCATATTTTTGATTAATTTGTTTTTGTATGGCTTTATAAGCTAAGTCTTTTCTTTGAATAACACAAAAACATTCTCTCAATTATCTCCTGTAATAGTTAAAGCTCTGTTTTTGACAATTGGTATCAGAGTCTTTGATCTTTAGAGGCCTGAGTAGTCAGGAAGCAGCAGTCTTCTTATTTGCAGCAGCAAGATCAAATGGCGTCAGAGAACAGCAGCTTTGTGCAACTAGCCATTCCTCGCTTTGATGGTTACTACGATCATTAGAGCATGCTGATGGAAAACTTTATGAGATCCAAAGAGTATGAGGTCTTATTGAGAATGGCATTATTGAACTAGCAGAAGGGGTAACCTTGACTGATGCACAGTTGAAGGTTTTAGAAGAACACAAATTGAAAGACTTGAAGACAAAGAACTACTTGTTTTAGGTAATAGATCGTGCCATCCTGGAAACTATTCTTCAAATGAATACTGCGAAACAAATTTGGGACTCTCTAAAGAAGAAATACCAAGGCACAGCAAGGGTGAAACGTGCTCAACTCCAAGTTCTTCAAAAAGAATTTGAAAATCTCCACATGAAAAAAGGGGAGTCAGTAAATGATTATTGTGCAAGAGTACTCTCAATTGCCAACCAGAAGTGATTTCATGGTGAGACAATAGCAGATGTTGATGTAATTGAGAAAATGCTTCGCTCAAAGACTCCAAAATTCAACTATATGGTGTGCTCCCATTGAAGAATCTCATGATGTTGACAGTATTACTCTCAATGAGTTGCAGAGTTCTTTGTTGGTACATGAACAAAGGATGACCAGGCATGTTGTAGAAGAGCAAGCCTTGACAGTCACTACTCTTGGAGAAACTTTCTTAGAGTGGGGTAGAGGATGCGAAGGATTTCGAGGATATGATAGAGTAAGAGGACGTTAGTCTTCATACTATCAAGGGCAATCCTCATACAATCAAAGAGCTTATTTTGACAAATCAAAAGTTAAATGTTATCATTGTCACAAGCTAGGTCAATTTCAATCTGAATGTCCTGACAAAGAAAAGGAAACAAAGATGAATTTTGCCAAGATCGAAGAGGATATACTTTTGATGGCTTGCATTGACAAACAGGAGCAAGCAGGAGCAATTTGGTACTTAGACTCTGGCTGCAGCAATCACATGGGTGGTAACAAGGTTTTATTCTCTGATTTAGATTAAACCTTTAGAGAAAATGTGAAGCTTGGAAGCAACTTTAGCATCAGTGTTATGGGTAAAGGCAATATTAAAATCATGATGAATAATTGCATGATGACTATTACTGGCGAGTTATATGTCCTAGAGTTAAAGAGCAATTACTGGCGTGTTATATGTCCTAGAGTTAAAGAGCAACTTGATCAACCTTGTTCAGCTGCAAGAAAAGGGATTTGACATTATTATTTAGAAAGGTTGCTGTCAAATTTATCATCCAAAGAAATGATTATTTGCACAAGTCCACATGATAGCAAATCAAATGTTTCCAAACTCAACAAGGCAATCAGACTTGTCTTACATCAACAATACAAGATACAACATGGTTATGGCATTATCGTTATGGACACTTGAATTTCAATGGTTTAAAAACCTTATAACAGAAAGGAATGGTAAGGGGACTTCCTCATACTCAATCTCCTTCGCAGGTGTGTGAAGATTGTATGATTGGAAAGCAGCATCGTGACTCATTCCCTAAAGAAAGCATATGGAGAGCCACACAAACACTTCAGCTGATCCATTCCGACATTTGTGGGCCAATCAATCCAACATCAACCAGTCACAAAAGGTATTTCCATACTTTTACAGATGATTATAGCCGGAAAACATGGGCATATTTTTTGGAAGAAAAGTCTAAAGCCATAGGAACATTTTAAAAATTTCAAGCTAAGGTTGAAAAGGAATCTGGAAAATCCATACAGGTTTTGCATACTAATCGAGGTGGTGAATTTATCTCACATGAATTTACTAACCTTTGTGAGCTAAATGGTATCTATAGACAGCTTATTGTAGCTTATTCACCATAGTAAAATGGTGTGGCTGAAAGGAAAAATCGTACGATCATGAATATGGTGCGAAGCATGTTGGCAAGGAAGAATGTTCCAAAGATCTTTTAGCCTGAAGCTGTAAATTGGAGTGTCCATATCCTAAATAGAAGCCCCACATTTGCTATAAAAAAACATGACACCAGAAGAAGCATGGAGTAAGCACAAACCAACAGTTGATCATTTCAAGATATTTGGAAGCCTAGCATATGCTCATGTACCAGATCAAAAGAGAAGCAAGCTTGATGACAAGGGAGTGAAATGTGTGTTCCTTGGTGTGAGTGAAGAATCCAAGGCATATAGCCTGTACAGTCCAATTACTCAAAAGATTATAATTAGTAGAGATGTTGTGATTGATAAAGATAGCAGCTGGGACTGGAGCTAAGCAAGAGATAAATCAATCTCTTTTGATCTGAACACAAATGATGAAAGCAAGAGCACACAGGAAGTACAAACTACTAGAGAAATCTCAACAAATGTTCCAGCACCAAATGAATCCATTGAGGATCACCTAGAAGGCTTAATTGATCAACGTTCAAGGAAATGACCTTTTTCAATAGCAGATTATGTAAGTGGGGATGAACTATCTGATGATGATACCATTGCTCACCTTGCTTTATTTGCAGATAGTGATCCTATATTTTTCAATGATGCCATCAAACATACAACATGGAAGAAAGCAATGGCAGCAGATATAGAAGCAATTGAAAAGAATGATACTTGGGAGTTGACTGACCTTCCAGAAAAAGAAAAGTCCACTGGAGTCAAATGAATTTACAAGACAAAATTGAATGAGAACGGAGAAGTTGATAAATACAAAGCTCGACTGTTGGCAAAATGCTATACACAAGCATTTGGAGTTGATCATTTAGAAGTTTTTGCATCTGTAGCAAGGCATGACACTATTTGATTGGTGATTTCATTGGTAGCATAACATTCATGGTCCATTTATCAACTTGATGTGAAATCAGCCTTTTTACATAATGAAGAGTGAACTACATGAACAAGTTTTTATTGATCAACCTCCAGGTTTTGTGAAAAAGGGGAAAGAACAACAAGTTTATAGACTAAAAAAGGCTCTATATGGACTGAAACAAGCACCCCGGGCTTGGTACAGTCGTATAGAGACTTACTTTGCAAAGGTGGGTTTTCACAAGTGCCTTTATGAGCATACCTTGTTCATTAAAACTAGAGAAGAAGGTAAAATTTTAATTGTTTGCCTGTATGTAGATGATTTGATATTCACAAGAAACAATCAGGCCATGTTTGTTGAGTTTAAGTCATCTATGATGGATGAGTTTGACATGACTGATCTAGGGAAGATGCATTATTTTTTGGGTATTAAGGTTGTACAATCTGCTAATGGCATTTTTATTGGACAAAAGAAATATACTCAAAAAGTTCTGGAGAGATTTCAAATGTCTAATTGCAATCCAGTTCAAAATCCCATTGTTCCAAGTGTTAAACTTACAAGAGATGTTGAAGAAGTAAGAGTTAATAGTACTCATTACAAGTAATTAGTTGGCAGCCTAATGTACTTATCAGCCACTCGACCAGATATGATGTACGTGATCAGTCTCATCAGTAGATTCATGGAGTCCCCAACTGAACTACATAAACAGATTGCAAAGAGGGTACTTCGATACTTGAAAGGTATTGTTGATTATGGCTTATTTTACAAGAATGGTGAAGGAAAATAGTCAAAGCAGTTAATTGGCTTTATGATAGTGATTATGTTGGAGATTTCGAAGACAAAAAGAGCACATCAGGACATGTATTTATGTTAAGTTCAGGAGCTGTCTCATGGTCCTCAAAGAAACAACAAGTTGTCACTTTATCCTCTATTGAAGTTGAGTTCATAGCTACTGCATCATGTGCTTGTCAGGCTGTTTCATTAAGAACGATACTTGAAGAATTGCATTTTCATCAGGAAGGGTCTACATTGATATACTATGATAATAGTTCATCAATTGAACTCTCCAAAAAGCCGATGCTACATGGAAGAAGCAAGCATATAGATGTCATATTCCATTTTCTTTATGATCTTACAAATGAAGGAGTTGTTGAGCTAATTTATTGTCAAAGTCAAAATCAAATTGCAGATACACTAACAAAGCCATTGAAGTTGGAAGCTTTTGTGAAGCTGCGTGGTTTACTTGGAGTTTGCTCAGGTTTTGATATAAACTGATTGCTTGAATAGCATTCAGTTTAAGAGAGGGTG